CCTGCTTCTTTTCATTGTACATCTTTTCCAAATTAGTGCAATGAATTTGAGTACTTCAACACCATCTTTCGGATCCTCCCTGAACAGAAGAGCTCATAGGTTTTTTTTCTGACTTATCTCGAATTATCTAAAAAAAATATAAAATTATCTCAGTTTTAGCTGTCTCAACTAAAAGATGCCAGGTCCATGCCCTAGCTGAAAGGGCAGTCAGCGTGGAGCAACCTGTGGCCACGCTCCTCCTCTCCAAGCCTCCCAGAGAGAGCAGTCCCATCCAAACCGTGCCATGGCGAGAGCTCCTGGCCCAGGCTGGGTCCCAGGAATTGTCCGGGACAACGCTGCCCGGCTCAGGTCTGAGCCTCACCACTCAGAAGCTGATGATCATGTTCCAGCTGGAAGGAATCTTCTTGGTCACGGCGTAATTTACTACTATATGCCAAGTCTATCTTATTTCTGTGATTGAAGCAGAGTGGACTTCCAGAAAACGATTCTTTGTATCCCAAGGTGCATCTAGGTGTGTTTAGGTGTGTTTGATAGACACAAATTAACTGGATCTGGACACAGACAAAATTAAATGGGAATAATTTAACCTCATGTGAACAAAGGGTATATTCCAAACACACCCACACTTCACTGCCATCTGCTGTATTTTGCACAGGGCCCACTGCATTTCTGTGAGCTCTGTACACTAACGAACAGTACAGGAAAAATCATAGCCACGCTGGACTTCCTAGAGGAATAATACGTGTCCGTAGTTTTTAAATACCCAATGTAATCCACAGGACAATACCAAAGAACCATGAGCTTCTGCCAATCCCCTTCTGTAGGGACGGAATTTAGTTCTAACATTTTGCTGGCACCTGGCCTGTTTTCAAGGTAGTGTATTCTTCTAGGGAAGTTATTTTCCCTCCACCGTTTATTTAAACCTGCAATGTACTATGAAAGCATTATGGTAGCTACTGCAACTGAATTATTGCCATAAAATGCCTGAGTGTTTGAAATATATCCCTAAACTAGCAGTCAGTGACAGATCAATGGTGTTTCTCTCAATCCAGGGGAACAGACGTGAAACAGAGCATTCGCAGCATGATGCTCTACGCATTCCTTCAGTTCAGATTTCTGATGGGAAGTCTTTGTCCTGGTGGGGGAGGTGGAACTATAAAACAAATTATAAAAAATGGATATTTACAGTATGAGACAGAAGTCAGCTCTGCACTGATGCTGACTGAAGTTTTATAATAGCTATAACTGATTTTAATAACAAGAGATGGAGAATTTGATAGTGGCTCTCATATGAAAATTTAGTAGAACTGGAGTTACCATTCACCAAATCAGAGCCAAACCTGCAGCCGGTTTTACTACGGACAGGTCACCTGAGAGGTTCAGAGTAGCAACACAGGGACACTAACACCGCAACCTGCATCACTACCCAGACTGCAAAATAAGGAAGAATGCCAAAATTTTAAATGAGCACGCACCTTCTCCCCACACCGATTCAGCCATATCCCACAGGAATCCCAACGCTCGCCTCTACATGACTTTTAAGAGACAGAGGAAAGCAAAACTGCAATCCACTTGCAAGGTTCATTATTTCCTGTGGATTCTGTCACACAACAGGCAATAGAAGGGAAACTGAACTCCCGAGCACCACCAGCTCTAGTTATTCCAGAGCCTAACCTGTACAATAAAAAAGGGATGTTGGGTAGATCACCATCAGATTTCATTCTCAAGAGACTGACATCTGTTACAAAGACAGCTTCTCTGATCCGGATAGCTCTCCTTCACATGCACAGTTCAATTACCTCCATGAACTAGAACAGTGTATTCCATCCACCACTGTTCTTAGTCTGAGCAGCAGAGTTGCACTGGTGTTTTACTGCGATCTCAAGAGGGCAAAATACTAACTGTTATGAAGTGAGACAGAGGTGCTATTCCAGTTTTTATTGTGCTTTGATTCTACCAATACAGTTGGCTGGTTTGCCACTATTCACTGCTATTACTGAAGTCTTTATAAGAAGATACGATCACACTGTATTGATAACATAATCACATATTACGACAAGGTAATGTGAATCTTGTTCTTAATTTTGTCCAGTATTTTAACAGTATTCCACTTTCCTTCGCACATTGCTATTTTTACTGTTTTAGATACATCAATAAGTTCTATATACAATCCTAGAATAATGCCCTTCTTTTTAATATGACAGCATTAGTTGGTGTTTTTCAGTCAAAAGTGTAGAATTATTTGTCGTCCTTTATTAATGTTTGAAGGTGGCTTGGAGCTTTGCTTACTGCTCCATGGTAGGAATACAGAATAGACCTCACAGAACAGCAAGCAATCTCATGAAGCCTTAGCTCTAATTCTATAAAATGTTTTAAAAGAAATGAGTATAAACAATATTTGCTTTATGTATCATAACTGAAACCATACTGCTAAACAATCGTATCCTGTTTAGTCCATAATGACATCAAAAATATATGTTTATCATCTGCTCTGGACAACTTCGCATGATTTTGGCCCAAGGCAAAGTGAAACTGAAATCATTTACAGTTGCCCAAACCAAGATAACCATGCATTTCTGAGATAATTGATACCTAAAGGGAACGCTGCCTTTAGATCACAGCTCACGATTTCAGTGTAGCAATTCCTTAAAAAATGCTGTTAGAATTTTTAAAGTGTCTGTTGGATTTCTTCCAAAATTTAGCATGGATTAAACAATCTATGGCGCAAAGAAAATGTGATACATGAGATCAGCCCATCCACTAACAACTCTTCCTTCATGAATTGATCACATTTCCTACTACCTTTGATTCCTTTCCACCCACCTCAAAGTGACAACAAA